TAATCAGTACTTAAATATTTAAAATTAATACCGATTTGCTGTTGTATCATCCGTTTGTTGATAGTTAGTAGAGTATTCTATAAAATCAAAAAATTTTTCATAATTAAAAATTGTCTGCTTAGATCAAGAAAAAAATTAAAAATTGGAATAATCCTTCAATCAATGTAGTAAAACAGAGTTAGAATATGACATCGGGAGTTTAAATTTGATGAAATTACCAATAAAATATATATATTCATTCATTCATAGCACTTTAGCATCAATATTAATAATAAATATTTTCGATTTTTGACGACGATGATGATGATGAAAGAATGGAAGTAGTTATGAAATGGTAAATTGCAGTATGAGAATGGGTCAGAAGAAGAAGACAGTTAAGAAGCACTGCGTTTCACCGTTTGATACTGAAGCAACAACAGCAGTAGGAGCAAACAAGCCTCAACCATTTTCATCCTCTCTGGCTTCAACGCTCACTGGCCAATCTCAAAAGAACTACAGCAAACCTTTTTAGGCTTTCTTTCTCTTTCTATAACATCTACTAAATCCCCTCGTCCCATTCCCATTCCCCCCCCCCCTTTTTTTTCTCATACATACGGACGTACGTACATAATACATAAAAGACAGACACTTCCACAATGATGTATAAAACGGATGAGACGAAATATCTCTGTAATATGGAGAGAGAGGGTTAATATAGATTAAAATTTGTTTGTAATTCGGTTAAAAAAATGATTCATGAAATTCATATATAATTTTTAAGGCTAAATATTTCAAAAACTATAACCCAATACGATGTGATAAACATTTTTCTTTAGTGTAAGAATATACTATTAGAACATTCTGTAATCATAAGGCTTTCAGTTGTCAATAAAATTTTAGCAATTTTAAAATTGAAGTGAGAAGAGAATGAATAGAAAGAATTAATTTCCAATGGTATTATTGCTATTCAATGTGAAATTACGAACAGATTTCTTTGATTACAGAATTATATTTTGAGAAAATTTTTAGATTACCAAATTCTCCAATACTACTTAACAATTCTTTTTTTTAAATTTATTCATTTGTGAATTATGTAGTAGCATTTTATAGCAAATATAGAGATACTATCATTTTTATGCATGTGAAATATATACTTCCTCCTCTCCAGAGAGTTGAAAAAAAGCATCATAATTTAAATGAATAAGTCGAAATTTTGAGAAAATATTTTTTTACCACACACACAAAATTATTTTCATAAAGTCAATACTGTCGTGAATTTCTTTGAGTTGTGAGTTGATGTCGAGCGGTAGTCAATGTCACTAGTATTTTGATACGAGCTGGGTTGATTGGTTGTGTTTGTTGGGAGCGTTGAGTTGAATTGGGTTGAGATGAGTTGAATTGGGTTGAGATGAGTTGAATCGGGTTGAGATGAGTTGAATTGGGTTGAGCTGAGTTGAATTGGTTGAGTTGAGCTGAGTTGAACTGGGTTGGGTTGAGCTGAGTTGAACTGGGTTGGGTTGAATTGGGTTGAGTTGAGTTGAGTTGAGTTGAGTTGAACTGGGTTGGGTTGAGTTGGGTTGAGTTGAGTTGAGTTGAGTTGAGTTGA